ACAATGACAATTCCCTAAACTAAAGTAACTTAGTTCCCAGAACTAAAGCAACTTGTTTTTCTAGTTCTTGCCCTCCTGCCCTATTGATCCCCTGTAATAGCTGGCCAGGAGAGATGCTTATCAGTCACCTGGCATTACCTATCAGTTACCGTATTTCCCTAACTACACTTACCAATGGCCAACCAAAGGCCCAAAAGGAAAATTTTAGTAGCTTTCTCACTCCCCACCCCGCCCTGCCCTTCATCACTATAACTACACCACTCTGAGCAGGTCCAGGACTGGAGGGTCCTCTGCAGGCCTCCTCCTGACTTGAGCCTGTGAGGTCATGAATAGCTTGTCCCTTTGCCTTCACACTGACCTTACAGCTTCTGCTTCATTAACAGGAGGGACAGGCACCAGCAAAGGCATGTCTCCATGCTCCAGAGCTACCTGAGAGAAGTCACAGGGCTCTGCTTGCAGGTCCCGGGCAGGGACACTATCACATTGTTCCACCTCACCACTGGAGAGGCTGGAAATGTAGTCTGCGTTTTGTTTTGTTTTAAATTTTTTGCTGACGATTCCTTTCCTTGGTGTTTTGCTTGCATGTGTGTCTGTGTGAAGCTGTCGGATCTCCTGGAACTGGACAGACAGCTGTGAGCCGCCGTGTGGGTACTGGGAATTGAACCCAGGTCCTCTAGGAGAGCAACCAATACTCTTAACCCCTGAGTCATCTCTCTAGCCTCAAGTCTGTGCTTTTGTAAGCTAGGAGCCCCAGGATTGATTGATTGATTGATTATTTATTTATTTATTTATGAGACAGGGTTTCATAACCCATGGTTTTTGTTTTGTCTTCTTATTTCAAGAAAAAAAGAGGAAGAAGGGATGTTGGTGAAACAGTCAGCATCTGCTAACCCTCATCAAGCCTCTGTTACTGCACGGTGAACTTTTCTGCTTGTGCAGAAACCTGACTTTCAGAACTATCTACAACTCAGCTACATCCTACATAACCTTCCAGTTATCTAGCCCTGGTCACATTAAACTTTGCCACAGACAAATCAAGATCACCCCTTCTCTTCCACGGAGGCTCTTTGAACTATTCCAGTTAGCTTCTTCCTTAAAACCCAGCTGTAGGCCAGACCTGGTGGAGAGCACACCTTTAACCCAGCTACAAACTTCAGAGAGCCAGAGGCAGAGGGGCATTTCATTAGCTCTCTGTGTTAGCTTTCTGTCCCCCATTGGAATGGGAGCAGAGACATCTAGATACATAGCAAACACCTACTAAGCACTTACTGGTTAATGTGTAAAGCCTCTTCTACTGCTTGTCAATCTATTTGTTCTGGAGATTCTGTCAACACAAGTTAGTCCACACTGTGGGACCTCTACACTCCCTCTCATACAAAAATACACTCATCTAACAGTATTTATCTAGTGCTTGTTACAAGCTCCATGAAAGAGGCTTCCTCTAGGTTAGCTGTACACCTTTCACTTGGTCTCACTAGAGTGGCTCTGAGCTTTAGAAATAACTCACTTGGGGCTACAGTGAGGCTCAGTGGGTAAGAATGCCTACTGCTCATTTGGTCTCAGCACCCACGATGGGTGGCTCACAACCACGTGTAATTCCAGCTCCAGGGAATCCTCTAGTCTCTGAGGGTATGTGAAAATGAGACAGACAGAAGGATGATGGATAGACAGACAGGCAGACACACACACACACACACACACACACACACACACACTTAAACTTAAAAACTAAGTGCCTGGTATGGTGGTTCATTCTAGCACCTAGGAAACAGGCAAGTGAATCTCTATGAGTCTGAGGACAGCCTGGTCTACATAGTGACATATTTTCTAAACAAATAATTTTTTTAAAGTCCACACTTGAATTCCATACTTTAAGACCTTTCTTTTACCCAGAACTTAATTCTTAGCACTTAAAATAGGAGCTAACCTAGGGTACCTCAATTCCAACAGGTGGCTTCTCAAGGTTTTTGGGCTGCCAGTGGCTGATTTAAATAATTTAGATCTCTACTTTAGTTGATGTTTTGAAGAGAAATAAAGTATTTGGAAATCTGTTTCCTAAACTATTTCCACAAGGCATCTCAAGAGCAAACCACCTCTGCCGTCATCTCTCCTTCCCTTTCTTCTTTTCACCAGCAAACACTTACCAACTATTAGCACCCAGCAAAATTGTATGTGTGCAAATGAGATTTGCTGCTTGCAAAGCTCTGGAGAAACTCAATGTGAAGTGAGAGTTATGATGACGGCCTCTCCACAGGCTCAGCCCCTACCACGATAAACACTCCTTAGGCAGAGCTGAGGCGGGACCAGAAGGACGCATCTGTCTGTAGAGGAGAACCTCAGAAGTCACATTGCACTCCACAGGGCTTGGATTGCAGGGAAGTGCAACCCAGATAGGGACAACAGCTCCAGAGGAGCCTCAAGTTGCTTGCTAGCCGTGGTGTATCAGATCCTCAGACAGCAGTGTGGGAGGGGGAGGGGGCACAGAGAAAGGCTGGACTTCTGTAGCCTGTTCAGGAGCTGCACAAACACCTATGTCAACTTGACAGGAGCTGGGGTTGTCTGAGAGGAGAAACTAAGAAAATGCCTCTGTAAGATCCAGCTGTAAGGCATTTTCTAATTATCTATTGGTGGGGGAGGGCCCAGCCCATTATGGATAGTGCCATCCTGGGTTCTGTTAGAAAGCAGACTGACTAAGGGGTCAAGGACACCACAAGAATACCCACAGAATCAACTAACCAGGGCTGACAGGGACTCCCAGAGACTGAACCTACAGCCAGGGAGCCTGCATCAGACTGACCTCTAGGCACTCTGCATACATGTGACAGCTGTGTAGCTTGGTCCTCTTGTGGGACTTCTGGCAGTGGAAGCAGGAGCTGTCTCTGACTCTTTTACTGGTTTTTGAACCCCTCTCCTTATACTGGGTCTCCTTGTCCAGCCTTAGTACATGGGGAGGTGCTTAGACTTATTGCAACTTGTTATGCCATGTTTGGTTGGTACTGATGAGAGACCTGTTCTTTCCTGAACAGAAATGGAGGAGGGGTGGATGTGGAGATGGGAACAGAGTGGGGATGGGGAAGAGGGACTGGGAGGAGAGGAGGATGGGGAACTGTAGCCAGAATGAGGGGGGAGGGGGAGGGGGAGGGGGAGGGAGGGAGGGGGAAGGAAGGAAGGAAGGAAGGAAGGAAGGAAGGAAGGAAGGAAGGAAGGAGGAAGGAAAGCAGGAGTTGAGTAAGCCATGAGGGACAATACAGGAAGCAGCTCCCTCACCACCACCACGGCCTCTGCATCAGCTCCTGTCTCCAGCTTCCTGCCCTGAACGAGTTCCTGCTTCACGCTTTTGATGATGAACTGTGAGCTTTTGATTTGGAACTGTCCTCCCCAAGTTGCTTTTGGCCACGATGTTTCATCACAGCAAGAGTAAGCTTAACTGTGACAGGCCATAGGAGGTGACCGTTTCCTGGATTTGAGACTAACCCTGTAAAGGTCAGAGTAAAGTAGGGTGTGTCATTCACTTTAAGATCACTCTGTCCAGTTCTGATACATTCTGTGATGATCTAGCCCCCAATGTCTCCACATCTGAATCCCCCATTCGTAAGTGGAATTATTATATATTCTGATACATTCTGTGATGATCTAGCCCCCAATGTCTCCACATCTGAATCCCCCATTCGTAAGTGGAATTATTATATAACCCAGGTATGCTGACGGAGGCTTGTCATCTTAACAGTGGACAGGCAGAGGCAGGAGAATCAAGAGTCCAGACCAGCTGGCTTCGTGGTGCAATCCTTTAATCTCAGCACTCAGGGGGCAGAGATAGTGGAACTCTGTGAGTTCAAGGCCAGCCTGGTCAACAGAATGAGACCCTGTCTCAAAGAGTCAAAATAAAAAAAGAGTTCCAGGCCAGCCTAGGTTACATAGGGAGACCCTGTACTCCCACCAAATTAGAATTACCGTGTGCATTCCTTTAGTTTAGAATTTATTTCTATCATTAAATATCACTAAATTCTTACACTTGAATACCAGAATAAGGGTGGTCTGGTATGTTTTTTCATCTTTGTAATAAACTTGGAGACATGGGGGATACCTGTAAATAAAGAGCTTCAGAAGCTAGGGGGTCATTTGTGCTGGACTTGCTGCTGTGAGAGGAAGCCTTAGATGACACTCTGAGTCTTTTGGAGGAACGCAGGTCGAAGTAAGGGAAATAAGGAGGGCATAAATTAGTTCAAATCCAGTCAAGGAACTATTTATAGAAAGAAGTCTGCTTTGGAAACTTCTGTGGCCAGAGTTCAGGGACATTACCAAGTTGGAATTTAGGTGACTCTGAACAAACTCAAGAGAGCCCGGGAACTTGACAAAAACCAGCTTTCCCAGAGGCTAGAGGGACCAAGCAAGATTTGGCTTTAAGCAGGAAGATGGAGTGTAGGACAGAAGACAATGACTGGATGGATCAAGGCTCTGAACAGCCGTTAGACAGAGAAGCCAGACGGGGAAAGAGGGCAAGAAATAATATGACCATGGGCCAAGACGGGAGACTGTGGAGGAGAAAGCACACTAGCAAAGGAGCTGGAGAGGAGGAGAGGCCACCGAGGAGAAGGGTGACAGCACAAACGTTCTATAACCCCACACCGGGCGGTGGTGGCACACAACTTTAATCCCAGCACTCAGGAGGCAGAGGCAGGGGGATTCTGAGAGTTTGAGACCAGCCTGGTCTACAGAATGAGTTCCAGGACAGGCTCCAAAGCTACACAGAGAAATCATGTCTCAAAAACCAAAATACAAAAAAATAAATGATATATCTTAATGAAACCCAGTGTTTGGTACGCTGACTCCAAGGGCAAGGCCACTTGCCATCAAGTCCAGTGATGGAGCGCCATCCCTCAGACCCGCGTGGAGAAGGAGAACCGACTCCTCTAGCTGTTCTCTGACCTACACATACACAGGTACACACAGATAAATAAATACATAATAGTAGATGAAAGACATTTTAAAAAGTGAATTACCTGAAGAGTGCAGCATGGGGGAGCTGGGCCAGATGTAGTGATGAACCCGTGTAATCCCCAGCACTGGGAAGCAAAGGCAGAAAGACCTTATATAGCAAAATCCTGTCTCGAAAAAAATCCAAAACAAAACAAAGACGGGGAAGCTGGAATCTGTTTGCAGCCTGAGTAGAGCGCTGTGAAGCTATGTGTCCTGGGTGGCTTTTGGTCGCCTTGAGTAAGTAGAGTTATCTGGGAAAGGATCCTCAGTTGAGAAATTACCTCCATCCAGATTGCCTGTAGGCAAGTCTATGGGGCATTTTCTTTATTAATGGTTGATGGGAGGATAGCAAGTTGAGTGAGTGAGACCATTCCTCCATGGTCTCTGTGTCAGTTTCTGCCTCTAGACTCCTGCCTCGGGCTTCTGCAACGGCTTCCCTTCATGAAATCCCTTTCTTCCCCAAGTGGCTTTTGGCCGTTGTCTTAGGGTGCCTGTTGCTGTGAAGAGACACCAGGACCATGACCACCAGCAACTCTTATAAAGGAAAACATTTAGTTGGGGCTGGCTTAAGGTTTCAGAGGTTTAGTCCATTATCATCACATCTCCCAGCATGGCGGTGTGCAGGCAGACGTGGTGCTGGAGAAGGAGCTGAGAGTTCCACATCTTGATCTGCAGTCAGCAGCAGGAGACTGACACACTGGGCATAGCTTGAGCATATGAGACCTCAAGTCCCGCCTCCACAGTGATGCACTTCCTCCAACGAGGCCACACCTCCTAGCAGTGCCCCTCCCTATGGGCCAAGCGTTCGCACACATGAGTCTATGGGGGCCACGCCTGTTCAGCCACCACAGCCACGGAGTCTATCACAGCAGGACACACCCTAACTCAGACACCATGCACTTGGAGCGTCTCAAACATGTGTCGGATTATAGGTGACAGGTTTGCTGTAGCTGTAGGTTACAGGAAACACCAGAAGGAATGTGGGAAGAATCAGTGAGGCGAGGGAAACTTGGCGCTCTGTGTGAATGCAGTAGCTGGTTAGGAAGGACGTGGGTCCTGACGAGGAGACAGGCTTTCTCTGGTGTTCAAAATACAGTCAGGAAGAAAGAGGGTGGCATCCCAAGTGAGGTTTTTTATAAGCAGAGCTTCAGGAATGTACCTGTCAGACGAAGGGGCTGGTTGTGGAGTAAGAATTAAAGTAGAAACTGGCAGTGACCTCCAGTGACTTCATGGTGCTCACTAGAATGGTAACACTAGATTGTCAGGGGTTGAGATAAACTTCTAAAGATATATGAGCATCATGACTGCTCCTGGCCACATACTGGAAGTCACTGTTTAATATGCCCAACTGCTAATGCTAGGAAGTGGAAACAAATACTTAAAGTAAACTAAATAAACAATGAATTTTTAAAAAAATCTATTTCTTATTCCCATACAACAGTGGTTCTCAACCTTCCTAATGCTTCGACCCTTTAATACAGCTCCTCAAGCTGTGGTGACCTCAACCATAAAATGATTTTCATTGCTACTTCATAACTCTAATTTTGCTACTGTTATGAATTGTGTGTGTGTGTGTGTAAGAGAGAGAGAGAGAGAGAGACAGAGAGACAGAGAGAGAGAGAGAGAGAGAGAGAGAGAGAGAGAGAGAGAGAGAGAGAGAGAGAGTGCCAGCAGTTCCCAGAGGAGCTAAATGTTGTCGGGAGCATTGCCATGGATTGGAGGCAGGGAACTGAGAATTCAATTCAGACTCCTCCCCTTCCTAAGTGACCTAGGGCAAATTGCTTAATCTCCCCATTTGTAAAATGTGGGTAACAATGAACCTTACAAAGTTGTTATGAGATTGGAATGCTAAATGCGGGGTGTGGTGTGGTGATGTACACCTGTAATACCAAGCATTCCAGGTTTGAAGTTTGTGAATTCCAGGCCAGCCTGGGCTACACAGTGGGAAGTTACCCCAACAAAAATAAGTATCCAAGGAAATAAATGCTGAAAGAATGAGGGTCAGTGAAATGGCTTATTGGGCAAGCCTGAGTGTAATCCCCGGAGCCCTCTTCAAGGGGAAGCAAAGAACAACTCCACAGAGAGGTCCTCTGAACTCCACACACGCGCGTGCACGCACTGCGGCCCTCAGCCTCACCCCCACCGTTTGCACAACAATAAACGGACAGCACAGCACCGGGAAGGTGACTTGGAGGGACTGCAGAGTGCTCAGTCAGTGCCAGGGCCAACACAGTGCTCTTTCGTTTCCTGCCTCAGGAAAACACACTTTTAAATTTGCATTTGCTTTATTCACAGCTATACTATGCACTTTTGTGGGTTCTGGAAGACAAAGATCTTGGTGAATTTTTTTTTCTGGAATACCTTACCCACTGTAGCCCCTAAGAAGCCACCTGGAGAAATAGTCTGCAGCTTTGGGGTTGTAGGAGATCTCTTAGAAAACGTTAACACTGCAGATACGGGGAACACGTTCACAGACAGAAGCTATGCGTTGCTTTACCGCAGGAGGCAGGACAGAGACGTGAGGCTGGGCAGAAGATCCTAGTTTAGGATGCTGTCTGTCGGTGGGACCATGTTCTTAGATGGATAGGAAAGGAGCCCAGAGAAGACAGCCATGCTTGTCATAACATTGTTTAGGGACAATCCTGATGAAATGTTTGCAGCCTAGACTTGAGGGTGTGACCCTCCTCGTCCAGAGGTTTTATGTGAAACACTATGGATATCTTTCTGTCCCATCTGAGGTTGAAGCTGACAGCAATCATAATGCCAGATCCTCTGGGGCGGCCGACTTATAGGCTGCTGCCGCCATTTCCTAGGGATCCAGGCCTGTGCCAAGTCACTGCACAGACGCAAAAACTGCTGGTGGGTTCCCCCAGGGAGGAAATAGTTCATTGGAGTCTCACTGCAGAAACCAGCACAGGTAGGTAAAATGTTTTTATAATTGCCACTAGGAAAACAGAGAGGACCCAGGGGGAATCTTCTGCCCAAGGGGCCCCTCTCTAGTTATAACCTAATTTGTTGTGCGTATGTGGATCATGTGGGTGGAATTTATCCTTCCCAGGTATTAGGTTAGATTGTTTTCATAATGTGTGGAGACTCCAAGAAATGGAAGTTATTGCATTTTCCCGCCATGCTATGTGGTTCAGATGGAAACTGACCCCTGTCACTGTAAGGTGCGGTGTGTGTCCTCTTTTCACTGCTGGGGCTGTACACGAAGGCTCTGCAATTCTGGAATTGAAAAACGGGACTGGAAGCTGCTTGTCACTGAAGAAGCTGATCTTCCTGTGAGGGTCATTCTGGGAATGTATGCTCACTTGCATGTGGTAGACCACTGCAAACAAACCACAGGAAACCCTCAGGAAGTTACCCATGGTGTTAAAAGGTGTCAAGGCAAAAGAGTTTTCTGGCAAGAGGAAGGTATTATATGCAGGGTGGGGAAAAATGAATCCAACATGTATAACTAAAATGAACTTTGAAATACAAGAAATAGGTATAAACACCATTTGAAATGGTTTCCTGGGATCCGGCCAAACACTATTTCTCATGCTTTATGGGGTTTAATTAACTTGAGTAAGATTTTGCAGTCAGAAAGCTAAATAAGACTCTGCCATGCATCGCTGGCATACTTGTACCTGCAGTATGGGGTGCTGCATGGTTTGTTGCATTTCAAGAAAAGTTTAAGGGCAGGCTGGGGTATAGCTAGAGTTGTAAAGAGCCTGCTTAGCAGGTACAAGGCCCTAGGTTCAAATCCAGAAATTCCCCACTAAACAACAAACAAAAAAGTCGTCCTGGGGTTGAAATTAGTTAGCAGAAATGTCTGAGATGAGTAAGGAGATTGGGGCTTCTGGGTCCTTTGCAGGGGGAGCTAGTAAAAATGACAATGTTTGCAGGGTAAAGAATGGGCTGATATGGTTCAACTGCACCCCAAAAATGCACACAGTGAAGCTCAACCCCGCTTCTTCAGAGTGCAAACAGGCACAGGGCCTTTAAAGAGATAACTGTCTTGAAATGCAGCCATCTGTATGGGCCCCAATCCAATCAGACTGGTTATCTTATAAGAAGTTTGGCTGGGTGTGGTGGCACATGCCTCTAATCTCAGCATTTGGAAATCGGATACTCCAGTAGAGCATAGTCTGGGCCGAATAATGAGTTGAAGGCTGGCCTGCTGGGTTCTATAGAAACCCTGTCTCTCAGTAGTGTGAACCAGCAGTAACGGAAGAGCTCTGGGCCGAGCTGGAGAGAGGAAGCAGCCGAGAGTCATGACTGCGTGAGCACTGGGTAAAGGGTGACTGTCTGCAGGCAAGGGGGCCGACCAGGAGGAGCCACACCTGTCCACACACCGTCATCTTCAGCTTTCCTCTCCAGAGGCTGATGAGAACTAGTGTCTGTTATTTGGGCAGCAGTCTGGCATTTTGTACAGTGAACAGATGTGGTCCCATAGGGGCCTGCAGTTAACAGGGTCTAGAAAAGGTTGTGATCATCCCAGGGTACTCATAAGATTCAGGTTTCCTGAGGTCTATAAACTATCAGCTTCAGAGTCTCTTAGAATTTTTGTTTGTCTGGGTGATTGCTTGGCTTTTGAGGAAGGGTCTCTCTCTCTCTCCATGGCTGTCTTAGAACTCATTGCAGAGTCCAGGCTGGCCTCTGACTCACAGAGATCCAGCAGCCACTGCCTCTGCCTCTGAGTACTAGGACTAAAGCTGTGCTCCGCCATGCCTAACATTCCTATAATGCTTTGAAAAATGCTGGTCCCCAGGATCTAGTGATGCTGTGTTCTCTGCATCTGGGTTCTTGTTGTGGTGAAATGCCCCAGATGATGCTTTGGAGAACCGGAGCCTGAGTCCCAGTGCTTGGCCATCGAGTGCTAACTATCCCGAGAGCTGGTGTATCCAGTGTTCAGATAGACGTTCTGCCATCTGGGAAGCACACATAAACCTCACCGCTAGTCGTCAGCGTCTGTGGGTACCGCAGCTTGTGGGAAAGCTGAATGGGGTGTAACCAATAGAACCCCTGAAGGAATTTACATTCGATTCTGTAAATGGGCTCCTCACCATCTTCCTTAAGAGTATCATGATGGGGTCTCTCTGTGTAACAGTCCTGGCTGTCCTAGAACTCGCTCTGTAGACCAGGCTGGCATCGAACTCACTGAGAACTGCCTGCCCTAGTGCTGGGATTAAAGGCGTGGCCACCACCACCCGGCTGCTGTGCTTTGATCCATACTCTGAGCCTTGAAACTGCAAGTGAGCTGCATCCCTAGCATGCCCTGTCAAGTAGCGTGTTTGTGAAATAGATCAATGATAATAGCAGCTAGAAAGGCTAAACATTCATGGAAAGAATAAATATCCCACACGGGTTCTGTGCAGAATGGAAATAAAAAAGTTCCGTCTGACAGAAGGCAGATTTTCTTACTTTCGTTTCTGGGTCAAAGAGGGAAGGAGAAGGGAGGAGGGCTGATGAAGCAAGAACATTTTTTTGGTTTGATTTCTTTTTTTTAGGACAAGTCTGATTATGTAGCCCTGGCTGGCCCGGGACTCCAGCTTCTCCTGCCATAGCCTCTAGGGCTGGGATTACAGACGTGTACCACACCGGGTTACACACTTTCAAAGTAGGTAAAATAAATGATACTCCTTAGAGAGGTGGAAATTGCCATCCTCGCCGGGCACTGTGGTTCAAACCTATAATCCCGGGACTGGAGAGGCGGGAAGGTTGCTGTGTGCCTGAGCTATGCTGTGAATTCCACATCAGCCAGGACTCAGAAAGCAAGGCCTGGTCTTCAGAAGGAACAAACTGCTGCCCTATTCACAAGGTTTTACTTATTATAGACGGGGTCTCGCTCTGCAGCCTAGAGTGTTCGGGAACTTGTGTGGGAACTCATTCCGTATCCCAGGCTAGCCCCTCAAGGGTGGAGATTACAGACATGAGCTACCACACCCAACAAGAGACACGGGGTCTGTAAGGACTCTTGGTTTTTTTGGTGGTTTGTTTTAGGAATTTGTCCTAAAACAGAACTTGAGGCACACCATCGGGCTGCTCTCCTTATGGCATCCAGCCTCTGAATCCAACTCAGCTAAGGTCCTAGTAGTGACCAGGCCTGGCTAGGAGTTCCTACGGCCATTGTACTCGGTACAGGGCTAATTGGTTGTTTTTTTTCTTCCTAGATTAACCCAGTTCAGTTTCTCTGTGCAGCCCACTGGGTTCTCAGTGGGCGGTGTCCCCACTGTGCGTGTGTGTGTGTGTGTGTGTGTGTGTGTGTGTGTGTGTGTGTCCGCGTGTAGCGGGATTGAAAACCTTGTCATTCAGGTTCCAGGTGCTTTCCAGAAACCAGACTTCTGGCATTTAAAAGAATTGATTTAAAACGCCAGACCGTAATACCTCGGGGAGGTTCTGAAGCAAAGCCCTGAGCGCAAGCGCGTTTCTTTAGGAATGAAAGGGAGAAAGCGTGCCAGCCCGGGGCGGGCGGCGGCGGAGCCTCAACAATGCAGCTCCGGGGGACCCTTTGGCTGAGCGGGGTCCAGGCGGGCCGGTGCGCTCGGAGGGCCGGCCTTCTTTCCAGACCTTTCGGTGCAGCCTTCCGCCCGGCTCGGGGCTCGCACAGCGAGGTCCGGGCCTAGGCCGGGCGGCCCGGGCGCCCTGAACGGCGGCGGACTCGGGGGTCGGCGGAGCGGGCGGCGCCGCGCCTTCGTTAGAGGGCGCTCGGGGGCGCCGCCGCTTCCTCCCGCCGCCCCTCCCCGCCGGCCGGGGCGCACGCAGCCGCCGGGCCCTGGGGACCGAGTCTCCACGCCGCCCGGGACCCGGAGCGGGGAGGGCCGCGCCGCCGCCGCCTCCTTCCGCTGGCCATGCAGTCTTCCGGCTCCCGCGGCCCCGGCCCGGCCCCGGCCTGCCCCAGGTAACCCGGGGCGCGGCGGCCGGGCCGGGGTCGGGCCGAGTCGGGCCCGGGAGGCGCTGGGGGGGTGGTGGTGGTGGTGGCGGGGAAGGTGCCGTTGGTCGCGTGGCCTGCGAAGGAGGAGGAGGCGGCGGCGTCCCGAGGGCCGAGGGCGCGGTAGGCCCCGGGGAGGAGGCGGGGGCGCGGGGCATCGCCCGCCTCCCCGGGACCCGCCCCGGTGACAGGTCCGGCCTCTGAGTCCCCGCCGCGCCTCTGTCCGCAGGCAGCCGCGAGGGGACTAGGGCGCCCGCGCGCCCGCTCGCGCCGCGCCTCGGGCCGCCTGGGCCGCCGCTGCCGCGTCCATGACCGCGACCCCCGGGCCGGGGACTCCTGCCGCCGCCGCCACCACCGGCCCTCGGCCCTGTCGCCGCTCGCCGCCCGCGCCCATTGAGGTGAGCTCGCCGAGGAGATTCGGCTGAGGGAACCGGGATGAGGGGAGCCCGGGCTGAGGAGACTCGGCGCCGCCTGAGGGGTGAGGGCTGCGGGGAACGGGCTGAGGGGAGCCCCCCGGGCTGAGGAGACTCAGCTGCGGCGACCCCGAGGCCGCTCAGCCCCCTCCCCATCCTCACCTGGCGAAACCGCTGCCGGAGCCTCAGCTGGGCGTCGCGCGGGCGGGCGCCCTCCGCATCCCTCGCCCCCGGGGCTTCACCTTCTGGGTCCCGCTCCCCTCCCCCTCCCGCTGGCTTCCTCTCACCTTCCTCCTCCTTCCTGGGCCCCTGTGCTCTCTCCTCTCCTCTCTCCCCTTAGAGACGAGGGGAAGCACACCCCTCGCTGCTGCGGGCGAGCCGCCTCCCCCCCCACTCACACACCCCGGGGGGCGAGCAGGAGCGGCGGCCGCGGGAGGGACCCCGTGCTCCGGCCGGCAGACGCGGTGCGGGGCCGCTTAGCGGGACGGCTTCGCGGTGGCTAAATATACTCCGCCGTGGCCCGGGCCCCGCGGAGCGGCTCCCTTGACCTTGTGCGCCTCCTCCTCCTCCTCCTCCTCCTCTCTGTCCCCCTCGCTCCGTCCCCCTCTGGAATTTGACCTCGAGATCGCCGCACCGGGCGGGCGCTGCACCGGGAGGGAAGGAGGGAGCCTTAGACACCCCCACCCCGCACCCCCCGAGTTTTCCTATTCTGTGTGTGTGTGCGCGCCGGGAGGAGACGGCTGTGCTGCCTGCCAACCGCGCTGTGGATGTGTTGCATCCATTTTGCCTTTTGAGACGAGGATCTCCCCTCCCTTTTCGTCCCCAGAAAGACGGGACCGACGCCGGTGTGGTGACAATGGCCGTGACCGTGGAGGGAGCTCCGTGGCTGGGCTGGACGGTCGCGAAGGCGCTGATGAGGTTTGCCTTCATGGTGGCCAACAACCTGGTGGCCATCCCGTCCTACATCTGCTATGTGATCATGCTGCAGCCCCTCCGCGTGCTGGACAGGAAGCGCTTCTGGTACATCGAAGGACTCATGTACAAATGGCTCTTAGGGATGGTGGCTTCCTGGGGATGGTATGCCGGGTACACAGGTAAGAGCGGCCAGCGCTGACCACTAGCCAGGGGCGGTGATTTGCATCTGTGCCTGGGTTGGGGTTTGGGGTTGAGGTTGCTTTGGCTATGGGGAGCAGCCGCCACAATAAATAAATAAATAAGTCTTGTTGGGTTTCTCATGAGAACCTCAGCCAGGACGGACGCCTGATGCTTTTCACAAGTTTAATCTTATAAGTAAATATTGTTGATAGCTTCCTTGGAGAGTGTGTTTTTAATGCGACTGACACTGGCTTGTCAGCCACGGCCGCAAAGGCTCTCCTAGAGGGATGGGAGTGCTTCACGCAGGGCTTTGAGGGCTAGGAGGTGAAGATGTGAGACACTCAGCGGCGAGGAAGGCCAGAGGGCCGGATTTCTGCTAAGACAATTCAGCGAGTTTTTTCCATGGAATATGATGCTTCAGGGTTACTATTTTAAGACAAGCCTCCCCCCCACCTCTGTTATGTTTCTTTTTTTCTAGAATTTACATTTTATCTCATAAATCTGGCGTTATTAAAATTTTAAAAATTGGTATGTGTGTTAATTTGCCGTGAGTATCTTTAAGTGGATTTCTATGTTTGCTTTTTACCCTGCACTTTAGGGAGAAGGAGTAACACTATGCTGGAGTGGGCTTTTAGAGTAGTAATGAGATGTGTTTGTCTTCTGCTGTAAACCTTACATAGTAGAGAACTTCCATTTCTGCCCCACATGCTGTGTCCTTTTCCTCCCTCTCGGTTAAAGCGGTGCAGGAGAGGTGGGGTTCCTAGCTCTTGAGACACGTTATGGACATATAAAACTGGTGGCCAGGTTCCCCGGCAGCTCTGCTGCAGTTGACAGCTAAGAAGAGTAGAGGGTACCGGAAGGGTCAGGGAGCAGGCCGGTTCTCCATTCTAAATGGTCTCACCCTCCTGCCTGCACAGCCTGCATCCGCAGGGTTTCCCCGTGCACACAGAAAAGGACCCGCAGCACACGGGGGTCTGGCAGACCTCGGCTGTGTGAGAAAGTGTTCTCTGTTGCCCCTCCCGTCAGTGTGGTCTACTACCCTGTGAGCCCCTGGGGTAGTATATGTGTTGCTTCTTTGTAATGAGCTGTTGAGAGTCCAGCTTTCTGGGGCACAGTGGTGAGCACCTCCTCCTCCTCAGCGCCGGGTAGCGACAGTAGAGGTAGAGGGAAGCGAAGGTCCTGCCGTGATGTTGAATCTCATCTTAATTGCATCGCTGGGTTACAGGTGCCTTTGCTTAATGTCCTTGGCTTCCCCAAATACGCCACTTATTGGGATTTATTGTTTGCACAGCACACTTAGGTTTGCTTGTTTTAAACGACGAGCCTGTAGGCCTTCAGAAACAGCTATCTTCATACTTAATGAAATAGCTGAAATATTTGTACTTGTGTATAACGCACATCTGTGTCAGGCTGGTGACCTTGAGAGAGTGACAGATACAGCACTGCTGCTGAACTTAGTCACCTACGGACACAGCTTGGCAGCGGCAGTGTCCTGTTTGTTTTTTCCTGAGAGAAGGTTGTGTTTCTGTATCCGAGGCCACCCCTAAACTCAGCCTCCCAAGTGCTGGGATCTCTGTGCCTGCCTCCAGTGTGCTTAAGCAAAGCTTCTTGGGGCATCTTCTTTACAGATGTATGAGTTTATTTGGCATCCAGCTTGGTGGTCATGGTGTGACCTCTGTATTTGAGTCCCTTTGAGACATTTGCTCTTCTTCAGGCTACTGAATGTTGGCAATTTGTCAGTTTCTCATCAGATTTTAGTTTGCGTGTTTTCATTGAGTTTTCTTAACTTGATTATGGAGAGTCTGGCCACAGTCTGATCGTAACAGAACAGCTAAGAAGTCAACCAAAGTAAGGATGACTTTTGTTGAAAGCCTGAGTAAGGCTTAAGGAAGCTAACCTACATAGGAGCCAGTGAACATGTTTCTTTGCATTATGTATCTCATCTCTCCCCTTTCTATCAAGAGGACAGTAGGCATTTCCTTTTCCTCTCTCCATGCTTAAGTTTCACAGATGGAAAACTGAACAATGTCAAAGGAGTTCTCAGGCGATCTGCTCAGTAGCTTGGTATTGGAACACTTGCCTAACAAGCATACATTTCTGGCACTGCAAACAAACAAAAATAAGGTTCCTTGTTAGTATATGGGAAGATTTATTGGAACTCCTTGAAGAGGCAAACATCATAAAACAAATCCTTCAACACCTGTGATTCTCTCCCCTTCCTGTCTTTGGTTTCCTTGGAGGTCGTTTGGTTAGTCACCTGCTCATCAACTCCCGTGCAGGTCAGCTTCTTTAAGCTTGATGTGGTGTCTCAGAGGTCATTCCTACACTGTTCTCCTGACTGTCCTGCTATGATACCAGCAAGTCTAGTGTGTTCATGTTTCAGAATAAAAATGGCCAAAATTCTGTTGAAAACCCACTTAGAAGGAAGTTTTAAGTATCAGATAGCTGAAAAGTGAACACTGGTCTAGAATAACAAATGTTCAAATTGTGGCATTTCAGTGTCAGGCAAGATGACTGTCCAGCAGAGGACTGTGCTGACGATGTAGCCTACCCTGCCCTCTGTGGTGACAGCTAGCTGTGTGTGAATACTTAAACCAACATCAGATTGAGATTCACTTTGGTTACTAAGGGGCTCCTGACTGACTGGTGCAGACACAGCACTGTCATCACAGAAAATCCACTGGACAGACTCAGTACGTAGCCCTTGTGCCTTTCCCCTTCCTTAGGAAAACTATGTCCTATTTTTATCAGAGAACATCTTTTTCTTGATCTGACAGGCTTCTGGGCTGGGCACATGGCAGAGTACTTGCAGCACGTGTCAGTAAACAGGTTCCTTTGGGATACACAGGAAGATCCATTACAGTTCTGTGAAGAGGCGAACAAAATGAACCCTTCAAACACACCTGTGGTTCTTGGATGAGGAATGATAAGACCCATAAGCCAGGAACCTTTATTGTGATTGTTGATTGGTTTTTGAGACGGGGTCTCATGTTGGCATGTAACCCGGAACTCACTATACGTACGTAGTCCAAGCTGGCCTTGAACTCATGGCCATCTTCCAGCTACAGCCTCTGGCATGCAAGCTGGATTACAAGCATAAACGACCATGCCTGGCTTCCCAGAATTTTGTATTTAGTTTCTCTTCTCAGAGATGGAGAACTACTTATAGACACAAAAGATAGCAAGGGCCTTTTCCGCTCTGTCCACCTGTTTCTGACTGTCCTGTCAGATGAACACATTTATTGAAGGGACTAGTTTGTGCAGGCTCACTTGGTAACAGGCAGTAATGAAAATTGCTACCACTAGCTCAAATGATGTATACACATTTCATCCTGGGGACAAGTGTCATGCTGTTTTGCCCCGATACTTTGAAGGCAGTCTGAAAATGATACTAGCTTAACTAGTGGTCTTCTGTGTGCATTACTTGGACCTATAAGTCAACCTATCTCTCCTCTTAATTTAAGTGAAGATTGTGGCAAATTTCAGAGACAGCGTATTTGTAAAAATAAAATATGCTTATTTAAGGTCATTTGTTTTGACTTTCATACACTTATTTTGGTAAAGTTATCACTATCCAAACACATTTAATTAAAGTCTCAGTACATTAGACAATTTAATTTAACAGATATTCATTGTAAGTGGAAGCCCCAGAGTTCCTACAAGAGTCTGGCTGGTAGGAGTGTGGGGACTTGCTGCCAGGCTGGCTTTGCTTAGCAAATGCTGTTTTCCTTAGGTGGATTTTACTTACCTGTGTTGGCTTTAGGGAAAACTGATGCAGATGAGGCATAGTTAGCTTCCTCCTGAGCCAGGCCTTGTGGCTCTATGTGCTCATCTTCTGGTTTTTGACTGTTTGGTTTGTTGGCTGAGCTGTGCTAAGAACGTGTGGAGTATTTTGTTGTTGTTATTTTAATTTTATTTTATTATTTCACTGTGAGTGCAGATAGTATCTGGACAGCATTCTTCTGATGGGAATGAGCTCAGGACTCTTGAGTCAGTGATAATGATCCATCTCACCTCACTGGTGGGGTAAGATGCTTGCCTGTGTCTTACCCACAGGGTCTTCATTATAATCCTAGAGCCTGGTTCATTGCCTAATGTTGGTGGGGTGCTTGGTAAGTGTGTTTGTATGTATATTTGAGGTAGGGTCTTGTGTTCCAGGCTAGCCCAATTCACTGTGTGGGTGAGGTTGGCCTTAAACTTCTGACTCTACTGTCTGCTAAGATTATAGGTTTAAGCCACTCCATGACTCCACGGGCACTGGCTTTTGGTTTTGGTTTTTGTTTTTTTTGTTTTTGTTTTTGTTGTTTTTTTTAGGAGATGGAAGCTAGGACCATATGCATTCGACTTTGAAGCCCTGTAGCCTAGAATTACACCCCCGTCCAGCTCTCTTAAGTAACGTCTTTCCTTTTTTTTCTGAAGAAAAAAATAATCCTTTACTGATTGCCTTCCTGCTATCAAGGGGACTATAGTCTACAAAATATGAACCCCAAACAAGATCATATGAAATTAGTACTTTTTATTTAATATGTTTGTTTTTAAACAGTGTGTTGCTCTGTAGCTTTGCCTGGCCTGGAACTCACCGTGTAGATGTGCCTGCCTCTGCTTCCCAGGTGTCTGGGATTAAAGGTGTATACCACCATGCCCCACCTCATGTAATGTTTTTATTGAGCTTGTACCTGTGTGTAGGAACAGGTGCCTGGAAGTGTTTGGATAAATCAGGCATGATTGGTGGCTTTCAGGACGGCTCAGCAGCACTGGTAGGAGATAATGAGCAAAGAGGACATGCACTGATGATGGCCTCTCATGGGGATGTCCTGCTGCCTGGTGAGTGGCAGCGAGAGGGCCTGAAGGAGAGAGGTTCCACTTTCCTGCTTTGGGGGCTTACCACTGTCCTGCTAGGGAAGTCTTTCTCTATAGAGTTTTCCCCTAATTCTATCATCAGCACTTAGAATAAATTTAAAATATTTGGATAATTTGTCAGGTTGAAGTTTGTTATTTT